CATCAGGAGGACACTGGAAGAGAAGTACTCAGCAGAGTCTCTTGGGCTGTGCCACCATTTACTTTGTTTGCTACTAAAAACAAGCAAAATCAGAGAAAAAGCACAGTGTTCCTGCAGGGTCTCAATAAATAGAGCTGATCACCAAAACATGTCAGGGGAACCTTTTCTCCCATTGAAACAACGAGGAAATGAAGGCAGTAGGTCCAAAGTCAGATCCACCACAGGGAGGTTAAGGGGAGAAATCAAACTTTTGTCACTGGTCTAAAAACACCAGTGATTTTTCATAGAAAATTAAAATTCCAGCTTGCAGCACAGTTGACATTGCCTTCTGGGTGCAACTCCATGCTGAGACTTCCCCATCTCCTCCCCCATGCCTGGAAAACAGAGCAATGCCAGGTGCCATTCACATCCACACTGCATGAAGCTCCAGCATTAAAATTATCCAGATCGATTAAGTAATATTGACACCCAAATTCTCTGTTACATAGGGGACTTTTAATTCCATCCGTGTCTCTCAGCTATGAGCCTCTCAGCTTCAAACATGCCCTAGCACGTTTTGCCAAGTATTAGCCATCATGAGGATTATTTGTATTTCAGTAGATCCCAGGATATCCCAGCTACCCTGTATTTGCCTGAAGTGTGCTTAATTTACAACTCAGAGATAGAGCCAAACAAGGGGGGCAAAGGGGAGAGTCGATATACAAGAAAAGCAATACTAAAAATGATTGTTAGTGTCTTGTGAAACATTTGAAGTAGGTTTAAGAAGTAATCTATCTGCTCTGATTTTAAAATAAATACAGGTTTTCCAATGAAAAAATATTTTTTCATGTTGTGTCAAATTTTGATTTCAGAGAACATTATTTTTTTCATTCCAGCAACTCAATAACCTCTGTTTTTCACCATATTTCTCAGTCTCTCTAACAGGAGTTTTTCCCAAAATTGTGAGGGGGGTTTGGAGAAGAAAAAATGGACAAAATATGTCAGCTCTTAGCTCACTAGCTTCCTACTGTCCTCAGTGATATTAGCTGGGTTAGGAGCTGAAAAACGGAGCTTGTGGAGATCTTGTGAGTCATCTCAAAAAGAGCTTTTGTAAGTAAAGAAGTGGCAGACAGCACAGAAATTAGGAAGCTGAGATAGTACTATGAAAAAAAGGGGTGAGATGAAGCAGATACGAGTAGGCAAGGAGGTACAGTAGGAACAGAGAGTCAATGGACTAGAAGTTCACGTTGGGTCAGTCACAGGACAGGAGCAGAGATGTCCTATATATAATGAAACAGCCAAGGGAAGCAGTAACTCTGAGCAGCTCCGTATAGAAGTTGTTGCAGAGAACCACGTAGGTGACTGGCAGGCCAGGAAGAAACTCGTAGCTGTCCAAGTAGGCCAGGCCAGAGGTTTTTAAGCAATGGAAACAAGAGCGAACACGCAGAGAAAGAGGTATCAGAACTTTGGTCAGTGTCAGCATAAGAAATGAGGAGTTAGAGTTGGCTCTCACCAATATCAGAAAGGGTGGCTGTGAGTTCAAAAGGAACAGAAAAGGAGAAATGGATGAGAAAATAAGGTTTGCTGCCCAAGCACTCCCAGGAGCGGGCACCCAAGAGAGGCTACGGTTCAGGTTAGAATGGAGCAAGTCAGAAAGCCAGACGTGTGTCAGCCAAGCAGGAGAGGAAGCTATATATGCTAATTGTAATTTGATGAACTCATCTAAAAATAATTAGCACCAGATTCTTTTTTTCTTCTCCTCTACAGCTTTATCTGCTTCAGACCTTACTGCCTCAATAGCTTGTTTTCTTCTTTTGCCAGTAGTTCTGTACAGGAGATAACCTTTGTGTCCCCAGAATAGCATTACAAACAAAGGGGAGGAGTACTCTTACTCTTGCTCATCGTTATTCATAGAGCCTTCTCCAAACCTGAGTGAGGACCCATCAGGAGGACACTGGAAGAGAAGTACTCAGCAGAGTCTCTTGGGCTGTGCCACCATTTACTTTGTTTGCTACTAAAAACAAGCAAAATCAGAGAAAAAGCACAGTGTTCCTGCAGGGTCTCAATAAATAGAGCTGATCACCAAAACATGTCAGGGGAACCTTTTCTCCCATTGAAACAACGAGGAAATGAAGGCAGTAGGTCCAAAGTCAGATCCACCACAGGGAGGTTAAGGGGAGAAATCAAACTTTTGTCACTGGTCTAAAAACACCAGTGATTTTTTCATGTTGTGTCAAACTTTGATTTCAGAGAACATTATTTTTTTCATTCCAGCAACTCAATAACCTCTGTTTTTCACCATATTTCTCAGTCTCTCTAACAGGAGTTTTTCCCAAAATTGTGAGGGGGGTTTGGAGAAGAAAAAATGGACAAAATATGTCAGCTCTTAGCTCACTAGCTTCCTACTGTCCTCAGTGATATTAGCTGGGTTAGGAGCTGAAAAACGGAGCTTGTGGAGATCTTGTGAGTCATCTCAAAAAGAGCTTTTGTAAGTAAAGAAGTGGCAGACAGCACAGAAATTAGGAAGCTGAGATAGTACTATGAAAAAAAGGGGTGAGATGAAGCAGATACGAGTAGGCAAGGAGGTACAGTAGGAACAGAGAGTCAATGGACTAGAAGTTCACGTTGGGTCAGTCACAGGACAGGAGCAGAGATGTCCTATATATAATGAAACAGCCAAGGGAAGCAGTAACTCTGAGCAGCTCCGTATAGAAGTTGTTGCAGAGAACCACGTAGGTGACTGGCAGGCCAGGAAGAAACTCGTAGCTGTCCAAGTAGGCCAGGCCAGAGGTTTTTAAGCAATGGAAACAAGAGCGAACACGCAGAGAAAGAGGTATCAGAACTTTGGTCAGTGTCAGCATAAGAAATGAGGAGTTAGAGTTGGCTCTCACCAATATCAGAAAGGGTGGCTGTGAGTTCAAAAGGAACAGAAAAGGAGAAATGGATGAGAAAATAAGGTTTGCTGCCCAAGCACTCCCAGGAGCGGGCACCCAAGAGATTTTTTTTTTTTTTAAGAAAAATATATTTGTCAAGTGTAGTTTCTAGTAATAGAGAATAAAACACAACTTAATTAGAGGGGAACTGGATTCCCCTCTTTGTTTTACCTATGACATACTTCTCCTCTACAGCTTTATCTGCTTCAGACCTTACTGCTTCAATAGCTTGTTTTCTTCTTTTGCCAGTAGTTCTGTACAGGAGATAACCTTTGTGTCCCCAGAATAGCATTACAAACAAGTACATTAAGATTCGTTAATCTCCCCTCACAGCTGCTGCATATTTGTCTTGGAATGTGACTTTCTGTCATTTGCTAAATTTCTAAACAATGTGAAGAATGGATTTGGAAGGGGAGAGACAAAGTAGGTTTAACCTTGAGAGGGCACGGCTGATCCGTAAATTAAAATCAAAGGAAGCGAGTAAAGCTCTTACAAACACTGTGACAGAAACACTGCCAAGCGTTAAGTGCAGAAAGCACAATGCGGCCGTCAGGAAACGTATTCTGAGACGGTAATTAGATAAATGTTGACTTGCCCTCCGAACAATGGGACACCAGCCCCAATTGAAGGTCCCCGCGCACAGATCCACTCCTCCCGCTTTAGAAGACTTCTGCTCACTTCCCTTCCGAGCTTAAGACAACACGAACTGGCAGCAGCTGAGTGGGTCTTGGGACGAGAGGAATGAAGTCAGAAAAGAGGATTTGTCAAAGTCTGCTGCGGAAGGAAAACATGCCACGCTTAGTACCTAGGGGAATGAGAGATCTTAAAGAAAAACGAATTATTCCTTGGTGCTTGTGAAGGTATCTGCTTTACAAATGGCCAAGTGGTCCAATAAATAGAATAGCAAAAGCCCGTCCAGATCTGGATTGCTATGAAATAGCACTGCATTGACTGCAACAATATTGTAGTTGCTCCAGTACAGACCCCGACCTACCAGCATTGCTGTAACAGGGAAACTGCCAAACACCATTCAGCACCTCCTAAGATAATTCCTGCAAAGATAAATCCATACCATAACTGGAAATTCAGTTCAGACTTTTGATATCAACTTGTTTTTATCCAATATGGACAAACATAGTTTGTGTACATTTACTAAAATTCCTGGTTTGTACATATGGTACCTCAGAGGGCTGGACTTCTCGAGCTGGAAATATTGTGCAAAGTGTTTTGGAGAAAAAACTCAGAAGGAAAGATGTAAGGGAAATTTGGGATTTCCAGGGAGAGCAAAGGATAGGCTTCAACAAAACACACCCTGCTCCCACCATGCAAGGATAGCTACAATTAAAAATAAATAATAAAAAAGAGATCTGGTAGACTGTTTGCTTGACATCAATTCCAGCTTAAGCAGGGACAATATTGATCTAGGAATTTGTTAATGAAGAGTGAAAGAGCTAAACTATCAAAAGTGCAGGCTAACATGGTTTAGTAAGAGACAGACCTTTAGAAACAAACAAGATTCAATTTTTTTTATTCTATCAGAGGTTTGGCCCATACCAATAACTGCTCAAAGCAAGTTTACTGAGATTCTGGTGATGCTGTGATTCCATAGCTGGCACTCAGAGTCAGTAAATTACATGTTGGAAGGATTAAGAGTTGGTTAGTTCACATTTCTCAAATACTGACTGCTGGGAAGAAATTACCCAAAATGTGGAAATTACGAGGAAGTCCCCTAAAGATTTATGAATTGTGATATATACAGTGATATCAGGAGAAAAAGAAAAGAGGTGCCTGGAACATATGAAGAGGAGAGTGAAGGCACAACTCCAAACTCAGGCTCTGGAATTCCTTAATCATGGTCCTTAGGAAAGTCAAATGACTTCTTAAATTGCCAGGCCTTTTTCTTTTCAGGAAAATATATTTGTCAAGCATAGTTTCTAGCGATAGAGAATAAAACACAACTTACTTAGAGGGGAACTGGATTCCCCTCTTCGTTTTACCTATGACATGTATACAATATGATCAGAACCAAGAAAATCTTTTTTAGGGAAAAAGTATCAATTTAAGGATTAAGGAAAAAAAGGCAAAAAGAGAATATGAAAGCTAGAGCCACCAGATAAACCTACTATTGACCACTGTTGATGTACATGCCATGAAATTATATGAAAATGGGTCTAATTAACTCCAACATCATTCTCAATATAGAGATTCAAATTTCCCCAGAGAACATAGACATTTGCTTGGCATGAAGTGTTACAGCAAGTCCCTAGTTCCTGACACATTTTGAGCTCATCTGACATCTCTAGAGCAAGGCAATGTGTGGCTGAATCTGACAGTAAGTAGCACCCGGTAAATGACAGCGTCCAAGACTGGCATTCCTCTTTGTTCAACACTTGATCCCATCTCCAAAAAAGTCAGCCAGGAAAATTGCCTGGGCAATACCTGCAGAACCGGCGCTAAAGGGACTGTCAAAGTGGGCCAAGCAACTTTTGATATGTTCTTGCAATGCAGGGGAAAGTACATTAGAAAGCACTCTTCACACAGAAAGTGGCATTGAGCAATCACTGAAGCCTGGGATGTCTGCTCGTCTGTGGATGTGTATCAAAACAGACACATGGGTTTTCTGGTGTCTGGTTAGTGTTGCAACAGTACTGCAGCTTCTGTTCATGAACCCTACCAGGCCACCTGCTTCCACAATACTCGTTCCTGAAATATATTAAGTCTTCCCGTTATTCTGTCCAAGTTGCTATAAGCAGCAAGAGGATTCAACAGATGTAAAAAGAATTAAGGTAAAGAGACCAATAGAATGATATATACAGAAAACCACATTTTTAAGACAATCAGAAATGCTATAATCAGCAAAATGGAAGACACTTACTATTGAAAGATGATAGCAGTGTGCTTTGCTTTATATTTCTGAGGTTCTGGAATGCAAGCTTTAAGTTTTATAGCATTTAATCTTATGCTTTATTTTTGTCTTTATCAAACCTGTACTAATAATTACTTCTGAACATCACACACTCTTTGTAATGAGCTTTATGGTTTTCACACCCTCTTTTGGTTAGGTTTGTCTGCAAGACTCTTCATTTATGGACATTATTCTGATCTTACTCAGGCAGGTGTAATTCAAGAATTCAAATCTACTAGAGATGCTAACTGTTGACATGGGTAAGAACAGGGTGCTGTAATTGCACATCTTGCAATTATCTGGAGATCTGCTCTAATTTCATTGCTAGGTGAAAGTGATCCCACAATAAATGTAGATGCTAGATAATTTATATGTGACTGACAACAACCATTTTGGCTTAAATCACGTCTGCATTCCATAGCTTTCCCCTAAGTCTTTTGAAAGACGATTTCAGGCCTTTTTGACTGTCTAGAAGGCAATGACGCAACATCCTTAATCCCCTCCTCTGGGCTCAGCAGTTGAAGATGAAACTTCTTAATCAAAACTACAGAAGCTCAAAGATACATTAGCTTAATTCATTCATTTCCCTATTGTCTGTGTTCAGACTGGACTGGGAAAAAAGACACCTTGTTCAAACATGCATCACTACCAGGGTCACTGCTCTCTTTTCAACACGGTCTCAGTGAAGCTCACAAATCAGACAAAGCTGGAAAAAAAGTCTTTTGAAGAAGTTACTGTCTCTTCCTTTGAATCCTGTTAGAGTGAATTCATAGAACTACTGAACTTTTCAAAATCCAGTCAGGAAAACACATATGAGGATCCCGAACCCCACAGAGGCCCATGGTCAAATCAAAGATTACACAGCAGAAACCCAGAGAGGTACAAGCAAAAGTCACCATCAAACTTGTGGTGTCCCTCACAAGCACTGGCCAGAGCCAGGACCACTGCTGGGGGCAGCACACCAAGCAAGCCCAATGTGTTACCTCCAGGCCATGATGGGTGCCAGGGTGGTTGCCAGCTCACTGCTGTGTACCTTGGCTCACAGTCCATCTCAAAACCCACCCTAGAAACCAAGCAGAGAGCCGACACGCTAACCCAGAGCAAACCATCCATGCCACACACGTGCTGCAGCCTGTGAAGTGCCAGCTCGGCACAGAGTGAACAAACGCTCCATCCAGAGCAAGATGTTCACACAGGAACTTACAGGGTTTTCAGAAATAGAGCAGTGCCCTGAAGGTGGACAGCTCTGTGTGATTGGTAACACATCCCTCATATTTATAACTTATTTACAAATTCAGAAATTGTGTCTTTGTTCTGATGTCACAATAATAAATGATCATTTTCTATATGAATGGAAAGTTCAGGTGGGAGCCAGTAGCCTTCTGCATACAGATTAATCGATACAGATTAACTGAAAGAGAACCACAAATTCAATTTCATGGCACTATTGCTATACAGCTCTGCTTTTCCTCAAGCAAACTTTATATTCAATGGTCTCTGTAAACTATGTCTAATTTAATCAGATTAGACAGAAAAATCCCGATTAATACAAAATGCTTTTGTTGGTTAAAAAGACTTCCAAAGATTAATATGTAAAGATCCAATGGTCTAACAAGACAAGCTTCATGCTTCACAGAGTTTTATACTGTATTGGATTCCAACGATTTATGCTATTTTTGATTATGCTCAGAGGTCAAAAGTGTAAATCACAACCTAGTGCAATAATTTCTTGATTCGCTGGCAGCTGACATGTGGCAAAAAGACAGCAAAATCCAGCTGTTTAAATCCTAAATCAGCCGTTTGCCTCGAAACCCAGCAGTGAAATGACTAAAAGGTATGTTTTCACAGGAGTGTGCCAAACTATACCCCTGGGATCCCCACTCAAGTTGAAATATTAAAAGAGCCTGAACCCCTTTGATATCTAAAGAATACAGCATACAGATGTTGCTTTATATGGAAAATGCATTACAAATGACTCAATGATAAAGCTGGAAAGATAATAAAATGTTATTTTGAAGCTTATACATAAGTCTAGAAAAGTTATGGCTCACCTTTTTAATCAACATCAGCAATGAGTGTATTAAAGGACTAATTGTCCTTCAGGCTCCAGAAGAGCACGTTTAGTTGCACAGAACTGAGTTTCTGAACCCATGGGCCTCTCATATCGCAGCACACACCATAGGTGAGATTTGCAAGAGTTCGGTAGTAGCCAAATCTCCACAGCCACTAATAAGGGAAAACTCGCCCTGCAGAGCTTGTTCCTGGAGTGCTGAAAAGGTATCTTTATATGTGCAAGCTGGAAGACCACAGTCAAATAATTATCAATTGTCCTGCTTTGGGAGGCCCCACCTAGCATGGAGTTTTGGTAGAATTAGGAGTCTCTTTAAAGAGAAGAGATCCATCACATGGAGAATTCTGCATGCCCGAGTTTCTGAGTCTTTCCATTGAAAGGCACCTAACATTTTTTTTTAACTCAAGGAGTCTCTCGTAACGGTGTTACCAGAATGATTAAACTTGAATAAACTTTTACTTTCCCTCATTTTGTTTGTCTGATTACATGTTTAGAACTGCATCCATAGAAGTGTTGTTCCGAGGCAATAGTTTCACAAACCTCTTTCTATTTAAATTTAAATCTAATATTAAAAACAGGCAGTGACTCCTGACTGATCAGCAATGGTTCCATACAGTTTTCTCCCATACCAATCCAAGGGCAGGACTGAAATGAGAATTCTTCCTACCACAGAAGTGTGGGATGCCTAAAATCCTGTTCAAAGAACTCTGCTTTGGAGGTTGGCCTTGTGTGCTAAGAGGATTTTTATCACTGGGCACTGGATCTGGGCCTCCATATGAGCCTGAAGAGGGATCATGACTTTTCATCCAGAGGTGTTTTCCATGAGAGGAGGCACAAAGCAGAGCTTCCTGGCCCTTTTGTTGCCCTATCTTGAACATCAAATAGGAGAACGCCAACCTCTCCAATCCCCTAAAAACACACACAAATGCACAGGCCTGTTTAAGAGAAGCACCTATGGAGAAAAGGGGTTGGAAAGGTGACGTCCCCCCTCTTCTCAGGCAAGACCTTCCTTCCAAACTCCTATCACCTGGCACCACGTTTCATCTGGGAGACTGCTAGAGAAATGTCAGATGCACTAAACTTGCAGCAGCCAAGTGCCTGGCCATGTTCAAGGAACCATTAGCCTGAGACGTGAAAGTCATGGCCAAAAACCAAAACAGGATGATGGGCCATCGAAGCAAGAGAGCCAGACTCAGCACCTGACTGACACAACTACAGCAACTCCATCCTGCCCCCCTGGGGCAAATGCAGGAGTATCGAGTTTGTCTGCCTGTAGACTGAGTTGATACGCTCAAAAATGACTCTCTCCCCTAGATTCTTAAGCTTCCCTGGGCATCTTTGAAGGAAAAGAAAAGTACAATAGATTTTGCCTGGTTTTTGCTTTCACTTTGTTCCAAACCCTCATTCTTCCCCAGTGTCCCTTCTCCTTTGCTGGTACGGTACAGAGCGGTGCATTTCGTGCAAGCTAATTTCTTCCAGGGTCTACAAAACCTCAGTCCACTTCCATTGCAGGGTACCAACATGGGAAGTATGTACGCTGCTTCTTCACATCATGATAGTAAGTTATACTGCTTAATTTCCGTATTTTTTCACTCTAACACCAAGTAAACAGCTTTGGCTCAAGACAGTTTAAGTAGTAATAATGGAGAGTCTCAGAGGGGAAATAGTGGCTTAATAACATTGTTCATAAAATAACAGCCACCCATACACCAGCAAAGGCTGCTTACCCACACTGAGAAACAAAAAAGTTCCTTTAAATCTCCTCACAGCAGAACGTCACCTTTTTAACAGAGGTGCCCTGTTCATAACCAAAATCTTTAGCCCAGAGACACTGTGTCTAGGAAGCCTCAGACAAACTACCTCTACGTCACGTCAAGGGGTTTTTTCTGTGTGTTCGTGCACGTTAAACTGCATGCTCACATACTTTTGTCAAATAATGCAGCATAAATTTCCTCAGGATTTCTCCAGGAGGAATGGGCACATCTCTAACACATGTGGGAGGAAAAGTGGGATTCCACATTCCCACTGAAGCTTAAGCGCATTAAAGGTTCCTGGAGGTCATATTGCCAATACGTACAGAAGAGCAGATGAGATTAGCAGGGCAAATTTACTGCAGGAAGAGGAAACTGAGTCTACATCGCTCCGATCTGTGCTGCCCAGCTTCCCATGCAGACAAGGCAGATTCATCCAATAACCTCAACCTCATAGACCTTTATTTTGCTTAGCTGACAGCGATGTGACCAGCATGGACTCCAGCAGGAACCGAATTGAGACCTGCAGTTGCCAGAAGGGACGCACTCGTCTGTCTCATCACGTTTCTCTACTTCGGTTTCTCCGCTGGGAGGGCCTCCCTCATTCAAGCAAGCACGAGTGTGCCCAGGGTGAAAATATTACTATTTTTTATAGTAATAATAATGATAATAATAATAGAACACTTAAGCTAATGAGGGAAAAACACGCTTTGGATTTTTGAGATAAGAAATAAAATCCCTTTCTGTTCAGGACTAACCCACACAAAGTCACAGGACGGTTGAGGTTGGAAGGGGCTTTCCAAGGTTATCGAGGTTTTCTACACATCCTCTTTTCCCCACCTCAGAGCATCTGGTTGACTTTGGATCATGACCTACTCACTACATCCAGCTCTGAAACCCTCACATCATCAGGACAGAGGATTTCTTTCTTCCAAGAGGTGTGAGTTGACCTGCTGGAATCCAAGGTGAGGGCGGCTCATGTGGACTCAGCTCCAGCGGGCAGGAGGAGCAGCCTCCATACGGGACAACTGCAGCTGGTGGGCACAGGAGCTCCAGGAGGGGGGCACGTGGTTGGGGGCTGCAGTGGATCTGGCAATGGAGCAGTGGTTGCCTCTTGAGGGAGGGAAGAGAGGTTGCGGTAGGGTGAAGGAAAGGTGCTCTGTGATGAGAGGAAGCAGTGGGTGAGGAAGGTGCGTGCCCCTTTGGGACAAGGAAAGGTCAGGAGGTGGGGAGACACCCAACTGCCCAGGGAACCATTCCGGGAAGGGACAGTGAGACCTGGAGCAGCAGGAGTGGGAGGTGACTGCTGCGTCCAGAGCCCGGGCTGGGACAGGGAGGGACCAAAACACCTGCCCAGAGGTGCCTCCCTGTCCCCTTCCCCATGGGCGCAGGGCACCTTGATGCCCCTCTCCTCCCAACGCCCTTCCCGTCCTCCTTCTCCAGGCAAAAATAGGAGCCCTCCAGCTCTGCGGGCTGTCAGAGACGTCTCCAGATGTTAAGAAGTTACTTGGCAAATACATGATTGCCGAGTGAACCAACAAGGAAAACGAAGGGGCCAGACAGTATGTGAACACATGGAAAACAGCTCAGGATTACAGTATAGGAAAATACATTTCAAAGAAGTGCTTTGGGAACTTCAACCACTGCCAGGTCAGGCAGCACAGAGGAAAAAAAGCCTGGGTGGAAGTAAGGTCATGCAATTTAAACTGACTTCCAGTATTTCCACGACAAGCTTCAAACCACTGCCCTACAGGTTATCTGTGTTTTGCACATCCTAGGGATTGAAGAAGTGCATTGTAGGGGCAATGCTTCTGTTTCATCTGATTTTTCATTCAATAAAGCACCAAGGCAATCACACTGTTCCCATTTCTGCCTTGGAATCACCCTACCATAATGCATGAAGCTTGGTCAGACAGTTGCTTTGTGAACTTAAGCATTGGAACTGGAGTTGTCTTTTTATTACTGCAAGATCTTGACTCCATGTTAACAGTCCTTGCTGCATTAATGATGCAACTAAAACAGGATACCCCTCATCAAGGACTAAATAAAGCCTGATCAAAATAAGCATGACTCTAAATGGCTTATTTTTATGTTCTGTTTTCCTAGACAATGAAGCCAAGCATTTACATTTAATTATTAGATTTCAAATTGCAGTAATAGGTTGGATGTTTCTCCATTAAGTTATGCTCTACATACATTTCATTGCCAAGGTCTTGAGACTAGTTTGCTATTTTCGAATAGAAAAAAAAAAATAAATCTCTTTAATTGCAGTAAATTTAATAGGGATATAAATTAGGCTCGGTTAAAAGAAAAAAAAAAGGAGTTTCTCAAAAATCTAACTAATTTAGCTAATCTCTTTTCTTAGACACTGAATTCACAAGTTAAGTAGCAGTCTGGGTACATACCTGAGCACCTTCTGCAAGACACGGTGCTCCTGCTTTGGTTAAATGCTTGGGCCTCGTCGGTGGAGGCAAGTCCAGAGCACTTGCTACAAACCAAGGGGCTGCTGTCGTAATAGAACTTCTCATAATGCAAGAAATAGCCCAATATTCCTTTATGCTAAAGTTTCCTAAGGAAGCAAAGCCTGCATCGCCACGCCACGTGTACCGGCCCGCCTGCACCTTCTGCACGGGTTAAGCTCATCCGCGTGACAGAGAGTTGCTGCCTTGGACACCGCTCCTGTAAGCAGTAGAGGAGAGGGACGTATTCAGATTTACCATGAGCAGAATTATCACTAGAACAAGAGAAAACAGAAGTAGGTTGGCGTGGGGGGAGAGAAAGGGGAAGGGGGGAAAAAAATCATTTACTTTGTAAACTTATGGTATCATGCTGCCAAATCAAATCGCTTATTGCCTTACAACTTTAGCTAGTCTGCTGCATTTATTGAAGCACTTCTAAACATTGGAGCAAGTTCACAGAGCATTCATTCAGACAGCATGAAGCACTTTCAAAGCACGTTACCAATAAATTGTCTCCTGCTCCCATTTTGCGCTGACCTAAATTACCAAATAGATTATAGCGGTGGGATTTGAAGCAGGAGAAGGATCTTTTAACAATTCAAGATGATAATTTTAGAGGAAGTTAATAGATTGAAGGTTATCCCAGAAATAGCATTTCATCTGAAAAACTCCATCTGAGTTTCTGCAAAAGCAGCAAGAGGTATTTTCTGATTCTCTGCTTTCTGATTCTGTATGAGGCCCGCTCAGAACAAGAGCCACTTGAAACCTCTCAGATCTTTAGCCAGTACCAACATAGCTGTGTCACACGCGAAGCCATTTGCTTAGATAAAACCAAACCACCCAGCCTTCCATGGCCACCAACCCTGGCCCCCTTCTGCCCTGTTTGAAGAGAAAAGCAAATTTTGCTGGAGTTGTTGAGATCATCGTAAGTCTTCGTGCTTGGGCTGGGGGAGCCTTGCGGGAGCTTGGCACCCCTTCACACCAAAGGGAGGGCAGCCCAGCTTGCTGCTTTACAGAAGACAACGCTGCTCCCTGCGCAGTCCTAGGAGCTTTTTTTAATCCAGTCAGGACTGACGTTGGAATCCGCGGCGCAATCCCCAAGCATGCGAACAATTGCTGTGTGAGCAGAGCCGGGTACAGCGTAATATCCCAGTAATATCCCTTTATGCTTGTGAAATGGCCTGGGGACTAATAACAAATTCCCGCTGTCTGAATTCCACCTTTGCTTGCTCCAGCAGAGCACTGAGCTGCCAAGTTTCGGTCTGCTTCATGATCCAGCAGTTGTCGACTAGAACCTGCCGCCTCTAAGATGCTTGGAACGTGGGGTGCATAAGGCAGATGCCCCTCCGTGTTTGAAAGGCTAAACCAACCCAGTCCTCACCACCAAAAAATAAAGCAAACAAAATAGACAGTTCTGGTATCAATATTTCAGTTATACAGTTATTTTCATCATATGCACACGATCTGCATAGCCAAAGAGACAGTGGAAAATTCATAGGGAACTTCCCACAGGCAGGAGATGACAGCAAGCTCCAGCTCTACTCAGTAAGTTCCACAGAGCTAATCCTAGGAGATGTCTGAGCCTGCAATGGGCTGTTTGACCACCTTTGCTCTCACAGATACTGTGTCTGCCTGACCAGGAGCACTGGGGTGAATGCAGAACCTGCACCTAGACGCTGACAATCTCACAAACAAAACTGTAATTGTCACAAGAAAAATGCTCCTACCTCTGGGTCCCCAATGGCTGCACGGCAGCTGGAAAAACACAAGACTACAAGGGAACTACAAAAAATGAGAGATTTTTTTTTCAAACCTGATCAGAGCCTTGTGTATCCAAAAAGGCTTTGAAGGCAACTGCTGCATTTTGCTGCCAGAGGTTCGCAAAGATCCTTAGCTGAGGCCCCGTCTTTCCTTAGGATCAGGCCAATTCTGCTGGAGCTTCCTTGGGCCTGGGCTGCAGGTTGGCACAGCTCTCCCCAGGGCCCCGCTCCGGACGCTTCGTGCCACTATTGCCTCATGGTCGTTGCTTCGTCCGTAAGGGAAACGGAATCGTTCAACCACCACAAACAAGAATCGGCCTCGTCTTTATAACGGGATGCAGAGGCTGTATGGGGTGTCGTGGCTGTCCTCCCTTTCTCACGTTCTCTTCAGACTTCCCCAGATGTAAGGATAATGCAGAAGGTCCCAGATATTTTCAAAGGGGTAGCAGAGGTCCGAGCCACTGTCCAGCAATGCAAACACTTTTTTCCCCTGTATATCTCAAACTTTTTGTTCTTCCTAAATTATTCCTAATCTCTCATGTCATTTATGGGCAAAAAGGTATTGGATTTTTCATGTGACGGGAGCTTCAGAAAGATGTGTAGTGCTGAGCACATTTCCCTTCAAGGTATTTATTAGCGAACCCAGTGCATTTGCTTTGGCTTTGGCATTTAATCTTTAAATACATAGATAGCTTTGAATTCATAGTGCAAGACCTTATATCACTTTTTAGTTTAATACCCAAAGTACCGCTTCACTGTACATTAAAGTGGTAATTGAATACAGACTTGGGACAGCTTTTATCTGCACACAAACCCATTTTTTGCAGGCCACAGACCTCTGATCTGGGGTCCAAACTCAATTTAAGATAAAACCAGCAGCTCTGCTATTACATGAGAAAGCAAAACATTCCTTAGGAGGAAATGCACAGACAAAAAGTTTGCAAAGCAATTATCACTACAGAAATTAGAAATCTGCTTTTTAAGCTTTTAATTCTATTCCTTTAAAGGTTGCTTTCTATTTTTCCAAGTACAGAAGACAAATCCTACCCTGAAGGCCAAATTAGAGCAAGTTCCAATCTTAAATGTTTTTAAACAGCTTCCTTGGAAAATACTTGCCTTGCAGGAAGAAACTAAAGAAACTGTTTTCTACATGAGGACATTAAGTGATCTGAATATGGTCTTACGAGTATTAAGGAGATTTCTGATAATAAAAGCTTCTAATAAAGGCATGCATGATCCGCCCGCTGAAAAAAAATTATCTGGCAATATTCAAAATGGGAAGAACATTTAAGAGAGAGGGTGATGGAACAATTCACCTAGAAAAGTGGCATTTTCCAACCAGATGTTTAATGCACATGGGGTCCCATTTTGCTGCAGCATCCGTGACTAGCACACTGCTATGAGCGCCCTGCCCGGGCACTACCCCTCACCGGGCTCTACCTGCTCTTCTCTCCAGGGTGTCTCCCACAGACGCGACCATCCCGGGCTCCTCTCTCGCTGCGTTTTGGTCCTTTACCTGCTGCCAAACGCTCAGGAAGACGCCGAGCACCTAGTGCCTGTTCTCCTCTCCGCAGAGCTCCTCGCTGCCCTCAGCGCTGGCCTTGCGCGCGTTGCATTTAACGCACACGAGCGGGTACCTGAGAGATGAGCGGTCACTGCAGAGCAGCTACACGGAGTTTGGATGGGAGGAGGTGGAAAAAAAAAGTCAAGCACCTGGAAAACACTTCATTGCTTCTTTATTTAGATGCACCCACAGTACAGAGCCTCTTGAGCATGTGCACAAGAGGAAGATTACACATTTATAGCTGGGAGCACCATTGAGGTTGAGTTTCTTTGATACCATTTTTAAGAAAGTAAACTCTTTCCAAAGAATGACATTTGAATCCAAGAGCTTAAGACCTGCTTGTACTTTATCCAGAGGTGGAAGATATTTTTATTATTACTTTGATGTAAGAGTAGAAGACATTTTCACAGGCTGGTTAGACCAGTCTATATATTTTCATATGCACCTTTTAATATATATAAAAAATGCTCCATTTTTCCCCCCCTCCCACAGACAGTTAAATGCATCTAAGTTGAAAAACAGTAATGGACCAGAGCATTCCTATGGGGAAAAATGAACTTTTGCTGCCCTCTCCTGCTTAAACAATGAAATGCTAAAATATTAAGAGATCTATGAATCTAATGCTAACCTTTAAACAAAAAGCATGACAGGTCATCTGCAATACTACAATCAAAAATAGGACGACGACAAGAAATGTATTGGTACTATTTATATTTGAAAGCTCCTCATCGTTACATGAGGTTATGAATACAAGGTATTTACAAGTGACCCAAAAGCAAAGACTCGTATTCAGAGGTCGTGATAAAAAGCATGTGCTTCTGTGGATAGGAAGCAACACTTGGATTGACATTTGGAATCCAAATTAGTTTCATCCTCTTTCAAGATCCTGCTTCATACACTTGGAAAAATGAAAAACTAGGGAATATGGAATCTGCTGCAGAGGCTGTGGCTCACGATACAGCTAAGTGAAGCAGATGAGCCAAGAACAGGGAAAAGAAAGTCACATGTAAATACAACATTCTTCAATCTTGCACATTGTCACCTTTATCTTATTTTAGGGAAACTGCTCTGTGACAGTACTATAAAAAAATTAAGAGAAAGGGCATCTTTGTTTTCCAAGATCTAAAACCAAATTGTTTGGGTTTCATTCAGGGAGAGAGGAATATATTCAGTTCCTTCCCTCTTCTCACAAAGCTATAAAGAGGTTTTCAAAGCTCCTAGTAATTTTTCTTTCCATAGTGTAAGAGAGCCTGAGGCTATACTTACACATGTATAATACGAGTACAGCTGCCACAATTCTTGCTCAAGCATCTCTTGGTTCTAACAGCTTGGATTTTTCCAGATATAGGAGGAGATAAAAAATAAATTAAACCCTTTTATAAAGGCTAACAAAACCAGGATTAAATTTACTGCAACCTTGCGAGTGAACGCCCCAATGGCATCAGAATACTTTTATTTAAAGCATTCCGGTGTCTGGAAGAGAGACAAAAACACTCAAAAAGCAATGAAAGAAAAACAAAAAGGGAGACTTGCAAGATGAAGAGCACAATGTGTACTTAATTTAACGTATATGAGAGGAACTTTACTTTTACAGTTGTTATATCCCCATGACCTGACGCAATGCCCTAGTATCGAAGACTCTTTCCTTTTACCAGCCACTATTCAGTCCTTCCTCCTGAAACCAATATGGTTCAGGACACGCGCGACCACCCGACAGCTGCCGCAAGGGCAGTTCACAGACACATTTACACAAAGAAAGGTAGTTTCTCGGGCTCACATAACAAAGTGGAAGCATAATTCACTAGACGCACTGGTGACACCTGGGCCCACATGCTGCCTCCTCGCTGCCCGCCGCTCCGGTCGGGCCTGACGGGAGCGGGACACGAGGGAGCAGGACCATCGGATTTGCCGTGGGGTTGCAGCAACGTGCGGAGCCCTCGGGGCACGGAGCGTGGGGCAAGGGCTTCTTCACACCCATCACACAGTGCAACCCAGAGCCCTCGGACACCACACTGCCACGTTCGCTCCTGCCCGGAGGTGATGCATCATCTGGGTACTCCCCACCATCCCCACGTCAGAGGTAACATCAGAGGTAACAAAATATTGCAACCCATCAGGTTCTCATCAGTTTTGTATGAGCAATACCAGAACATCATGTCAAAACCGAAAATAGTTTATGAACAAACAACACTCACCTAAACTCTAAGTACAGGACAAGGTGCTTTTTCTAATGTCACACAGTTGTGTTTTACTCCACTAGGTGGAAAATATTAATTTTTTTCTCCATTATAACTCAATATTTGACAATTTGACACAGTCTTTAAGCATGAGTTTAAATGCATCCTCTTATAAAGCATGATCAAGTCACACAAAAATCACACTAGCAAATATTTTTTATAACAGAAATAAAAGACTGTCCAAATCAACGGGCTGAGGGACATGATTTGTTATAAATTTATTTAATCTTCAGTATTTCAGCTTGCACCTTTGCTTCAGCACTTTAAAATAAAATGTTTCAACTATGACAGTAACTGCCTAATTTACATTGCGTCCCAGTCAGTGTTCTTAAAAGAATCTCATATTAATCCCATTAACCATGACCATGTTGTGTTTGGTGTTGCATAAGACTAGTTCCACTTTTTTCCCCCAACCCCCAGAATTAACAGTGTCAAGTTTTTACAAAATGGTTGAGTTTACAACATTTGTGTGCGCAGACCCAGGAGTACAAACTGTGACCTGATAATCCTGAAACAGTCAGTAGTCTAGGTGGGAATTCTTTCCTTTCCTCTTTTCTGTGCCTGGAAACAAGAAAACTTCAAATCCTACTGTATATTTAAATGGCAGGAAGAAAAATATACAAGCTTGTATTTATACTGTATTTCTATCAATGGCAACAGGTCATAAATTCATGTTTGCAACTATCACAAAGACTCATGAACACCAAATCAGTTTTATACTGTAAATACTGTTGGATTGATGGTTTAGGATTATCAATTCACCGTTGTCAAGTTTATAACAGTTCAGAAGCATCCTGGAGAAAAATCCCGAAACACATACCTTTCGGTATATAATAATGCAACTGCATTAGCTAAATATATACTGTACATAAGTCTTATCAGCATTTTAACCTACCAAAGATGTAAGATTCCACTTTCAAATACAAAGCAGATAGCCAATAATGTATACTTATAATACAGCCCTCTTCCTCTTTTTTTTTTTTTTTTTTTCTCTTTTGTTTCAAACAATTTGGTCACAATGCACCTTTGATATAAAAGCATTTTAAACTTTATTATTAATACTCAGAACATTAGGATTTCCAGAATTTTTTTTTTCAGTAGCATTTGTAGAACCACTTTTGGTAACAAATACAGTAGTTAGGAATGAGCATCCAGATGAGAATGCAGAATATTATCCAGAATCCTTTCCAGCTAAGACCATAGGGCTGGTGCTGTGATGAGTAATAGTACTAGAACCACAAAAACACTATAGTATGTTTCTTAGAGGCTACATCCTCTTTTGCTGGAACACTTTATAAATACATATTAAAAAGTAAGGCAACAACTCCAAACAGCCCAAACTGCTCACCTCAATTTCCAATTAGATCCGTGACCGCTGCAGGTCAATGTCATGCTTGCACTGTTTAGCGTTTGTCTTTATTCTTTCAAAATGGTCCAATAAAAACATACTAATAATTTAGCAATTAGTATTTCCCAAACAGCTCTGGTATGCATGTCCAATGCCATTTCACTAATACTGGTTAGGTAATCTTGGGTGTTACCACTGCCCGTTTTTTCAGGATTGTGGACACTAATTTGGATTTGTAATAAATAGGTGCATGAATCCAAGGCTCCCTTTTCCTGCTAAGTTTATGACCTATTGGTTTCTTAACTCCTAATGTTCAAATTAAAGACGCACCAGAAATAGCCTGGTACTAAAAATGCTCACACCAGTAAACAAAACTTTATTCAGGACCTATGTTTTTCATGGCCCTGATTTGAATGGACATTCAACTTATGAAGATGTGCAAAAGGAAGGAAAAAAAAAAAAAAAAAGGTCAAATTACAGTAAAGTTATCCAGAGAAGGAGGATGTTACACAAACTCATAAGGAAATGACAGTCTTTTTTCTCTTTTACTATAAATACACTTAACAGTTTAGCAGAAAGACAAGCTAAATTTTAAGATTGTTCACATTTGAAAGTTGTATTATACTCTCTGCTAACGATAAATAAGGAACAGGTCCTGACAATGGAATTTGACATCGCAATTTTCATCAACAGATCTTTGAAGACTGGTTTTAAAGAAGGGTTAAAACAATGATTATGTTTGCAAAGTTCTGAGAAGTCCATCTGCTGTCCAAACTTTGGATTAAAGTCCTTATTTTTTTCCTTTACTTAGAGACAGGTATATACAGTGCTGTTGTAATAATGAAACAAATGTGAAATCTACTGTAAAGTTGCACAATACAGAAAACTGTTGCTCCATCTTCTACTACATAAATGTGTGACTCCACAGGTTAGTAATGCTGTTTTGTTTTTTTGTTAAGTTGGAATTATTCCATCACGTCTAAGACCTCTCTTTAATTCCAAATCCTCCAGTTTTTTCCACAGTTCTTCACGCTCCTTCTCTTTCTTCTTCTCACTGACAGATGAAATAAAATGAAGAGTTAGGAGAAGGGAACACTGTAAAGCATTTATGTAACAAAAGTGTAGCTGACACTGATTAGCAGCATTAATTTTGTTCTGTACCTCTGCAATTCTCCTAGCATATATTTAATTTTTGTAAATAGTTTTCATTTATATTTTTGCTTTTTGTTACCTACAAAAATACTGCTAAACAAAGCAGGAGAAGAACATAGGAAATCTGAAAAAATAAGTGTCTATAGTCAATACTTTACAGCATAGAAGAAAAAACTTGCAGTGTAATTTTAGTATGGATTAAACATATTGATATTAATAAAAAATAATATTTCCAAGGCTAATTTGCATTAAATTATTTTCATTTTTTAAAAAAATCTTATAAATAACAGCCACTTTCTAGAATGAGTGTTGCCTTATTGTCTTATACTGATTTTGGACACTTTCACCTAGCTCTGACATCAGCCAAAAAAAGTACAGTTCCAAGTCTTTTGATCCGTGCTTCCCTCTTCATCCTTAAAGGAACAAAGTCTGTGTGGCACTTCCTTTATCAGGAGGCCTCATTGGCTGCTTGGGTAATAGGAAGCCTAATGGTTGCTTCACCTGCATTATTCACTTACTAAATTTCCTATCTTTGCCACATCATACATAATAATGCAAATTAGGAAAAAAAAAAAAAAGTTTTCCATATCTGCTAAATCACCGTGCAGGTTAAAGGTCGAATGTGAACCTAGCAATTTACAGATATAGATTCTCACCTTGTCACATTACAGAATTTCATAAAAATATTTCACATAATTAGAAATTTTATTTCCACTTTATTCCTTCATTCACTCATAGTGCTGACAACTGAGTCACTGATCTGAAAATGTAATTTCCCTAGAGTATTTTAAACATACAAAAACTACAAGCAACTCTCAAATAAGTCTCTGAAGATAAAACTTAAAAGAATCCACTGTTACTAAAGAGTATTTAAAATTAAATTTAAGAGACAGTGATATAGCTCAACATTTTCAGGCTATTACCAGGCTACTAGTCATTACCATTTATATGTGTGCTTACTAAAAGACTGCCAGAGGACAACAATCTCATCCAGCTTACCTATATGACCTACTATAGTCCTTAATATTAAACATACTCATCCACAAGCTTTAAAAAGTATAAAAGTTACACCTTGTATATGCTGTTTCACTGAGACACTCAAGCTTTACTGTATGCATTAAGGTAAATATCCCACTTTATACATTCAGATATTTATACATTTTATAATGATAACTAGTAAATAAAAATGGTGAATAGTCAGCACCTGCTTTGATAAAAGATACAATTTCAGTAGGTGCTAGAAAAATTCTTTATATAGCTCAGTCAATAAATTTCACCCATTACTTATACATTGGATATACTTAAACACTGTCCGATTCCTCATTTTTGTTTCACCTGCAGCTTTGGATAAGCTGAAATTTTAGCCAAAGATGATGCACTATAGTAGGAAAATCAAGACCAGGAAAAAATGTCAAAAACCCATTTTACTAGAGTACAACTAATGATTTTATGAGTGGTAAGGATCTAGCAGATGTTGCACACCAAAAGACTCAAATACAGCAAGGCCTCTGAATTTGAACATGAAAAAAATGACAGGGCTGAAAGGTGCCTCTCTGCCTTAAGACCACATCTAGCCTAAGAAGAGTATCACGGAAAATCCCATCTTAGGATTTTCTCTCACATCTCTTTCCCCAAACCTCCGTGTAACTTTTCTGAAGTCTTTAAGCAAAGTGGTATCCTTAAACTCTTGTTTTTTCTTCTATTACTGAAGTTCTTGAAATGTTAAAGTCATTTGGAATGTGCAGCCAATAGGAATTCCATGGGGAATGCAGACTCACAGACTACACAGTGGGTCCTGTATTTGAATTCCATGGGGAATGCAGACTCACAGGCTACATAAGGGATAAAGAACCACCTATACATGGTGTTATCTTGCTTCTTGCAAGAAGGTGGTTAAAGAGTATGCAGAAAAAAATGAGGTATTGGGTCAGTCACGTGTGAGGTTATGCAATTACAGCTGGTGTAAGGGAAAAACTAAACAGCAGGCCTTATGCACAGCTGACAAAAGAAGCTTTAAAAAGTTACCGCTGACGATCTGACTTGTAAGTAGCTGTCAGCTCATCAAACATGGTGCTGTTCATCTCCATAAATGCCTTCAACACATTGTAGACTAAAGCCACAATAGCCCTGCAAAACATTAAAAAACAAAAAAGAGATGCTTATTAGTTTCAGCTGAAATCAAATGAGAAAGAAAACTATCTTGTCTTACCAGCATTTCTAGGATTGATTCTGTTCTTGCAATTATGATAATGTAAATCCTGCAATTTCAGTGAGACTACTTTTGATTTGAAACATTTAAAGGTGAGAATCAAATTTCATTTCTTTACTGATTATTTAAATGGAGCAACTCAAAACTCTAGGGCAAAAGATAACAACAGAAAACTATTCAATAAAACTGCAGACTCTTCCCTCATGCTGTGCATCTTTGAGTGCAACTCCAGGGATAAAAATCATCAATGTAGGCAAAAGTAATAAAATTTATACATGAAATAGGAATAATTCATATTTCCTTAAGATTTTTCTATGAAGTTGAACACTCAGCACATCTATGCAAAATGCAGGTCTGGATTTCAAGATTAATTTCTTTGTATTCACACATTCTATATTCATCTTTACTTTGGTTCACTGAAAACAAAACAATCTTTAAAAAACACAAATCACTCGGGTGAAATACTGCAGCATCTACATCAAGCAGTGCACATACAGATAATATCTACTCAGACCTCTGCCTACTTTGCTTATAGCTGTCCCTGATCACACACAAGAGCCAATATGCCACAGCTTACATTAAGTTAATTGCATACAAATGAGAGGCAGGATCTAGCCATGGAAGAAGAGAAGGTGTGTAGTACTAATTTTAAAAAGGAATCAAAGGCGTTCTGTCTCACAGAGGTTCAAAAGCAGGTGTAATCACTTTTCCCTTTTAAACCATCTGACTGGATAACTAACCTAAACCTACTGGAATTTTCAAAAGCAGATGGGGCTGCCAATATTCTTATTATCTAGAGGTCAGAATTTCCCTCTGGCAGTGTTGAAGATAAAGAAAAAATTTAAACAACTAAAAGGGGTAAAGAGAGGGAAGAACTGAGTGTGAACAGCATACAAAGAGGCTGGAATACATTATAAATCAAGAGACCCCCAAATTCCTGATCTTCTACTGGTGTTGTTATATATAGACATGGGGCTTTTGAATAAATGTCTCTTTAAGCAGAAGGCAGTGAATGAACCTTAGAGGTGATAGGGACCTTTGGAGCTAATCTAGATACCAAACACACATGCTATTGCTTCTCTCTGTAGTTGTGGTGCCTGCATTTAAATATCTACATCTTCTTTATTTCACATGCATCTTAACCTGGCCAACAGGAGGGTTTGGGGAAGACATATAACAGGACAACAAACATTTTAAAAGATTAAACATTTCACAAATATTTTGCATTAAAGACTTAACATAGCAACTGGGAGCTGAAAGCAGCACAGTTCATTAAAAATGCTAGGTTTACTAAATGGTAAACACCTTGGCTCTGAAACACTCTTCCAAGTATAGAATATGTGGCATCAAATTGCAATAGTAATTTTCATTAAAAACTTTCCACTAGTTTAGTGGAAAATTTAGTTACCAAAAAGAGGCAAATTAAGAGGATTTCAAGATGAAGCAACTGCTGAGAAATACTGCACTTAACAGAGAACATCTGTATTTAAATATATTTGTAAGAAACACCCCACCCTAAAAATATACTGAGATGTATATGCTTCATAAGCATTTAAAATAATGAGGTAATAGAAGTCTACTAGAAGTATCAGCATCGCCCACGGAAAAGGCCCAAAGACTTAGTATTAAGAAGTGATACTCATCGAAACAATTTATGATCATGCTTATGACATAATCCAGTTAAAAAAACGTTGCATAAGAGAAATGCTTAATGAGCAACACTTTCTTCAATAACAATGTAATGCCTAACTACTATTTTTTTTCTCCAACTTAAAAGAAGGTTTATTTTTATCCCATGAAGTGCAATTTTTTGTGCACACTTCTCGGGTCATTTACACATTTTGAACCAAGCTCAAGTATGGTCTAATTTCCATTGGCATTAAGAGAGCTGCACCTGCATGTGCCAGCTTTGAAATTCAATCATTCCCATTCAGATGTCCTTCAGCAGACAGTAACTAAGTTGATTAGTTGTTTGACAAGTGACAAGTTAAAATTTAAAGCCAAAACTTACGGATTCCAGTGTTCTTTAGAAATCCTATAAAGGCTGGAAAACATGATGGGAAGTATAACGTTTGAATTCTCCTCTATCAAGCTCATGATGTATTCATTATTCCAATAATATAGCGCCCTCTCAGCCACCTTTGGGTTAGAAGAATAAAATATTAACAGGAATTACCTATAATTTTTGTAATATTCTAAAATAAAAACAAACCACCTAAGTTTAATGGCAATGAACGAACATGAAATTAACTTTGGAATTAAAACCCTATTTTAAGCAGTAGCATGACATGCATTAATGAAATTAATTTTTTATACTCTAATGCAGATCCTACAGCTCCCAGTCTCTCTTTCTCCTGGACAATCTGTTGTCTCCCAGTGAATGCCAGCTGCAGGCACTGCAATACTGCTGCAGAGAGGACGGGAAAGAGAAAAACTTCACGCTTTTCCATTCCCTCAGTCTTGCAGTTTCAGACATGGAAAGAGGAAAGCAGCAAGGAGGGAATCAAAAGAAACAGATAAGGAAAGGCTTACTAGCTGGGCTGTATTAGGGGAAAGAGAGTAAGCAAAATGGGAACAGTCATCTAAATTATGCTGAAAACATAGCTCAAGGAGAGCCTAAAAGAATCATACCAGCCTACGTGCCAGAACAGGGCACAGAGATTAGTATGGAGGGACTACAGGACATGGATCCCCTGTCTTCTTCAGACAGGATTAAACCTTTGTTCCTGTTCAACCCTTTCTTTCTGTCATGAAATTGAGTCTGAGTGAAGAAAAGGGTCTAAGGCCACGTAGCAAGTGCATCTACAGGCAGGAGGGCTCAGTGGCTGCTTGAGCAGCTTAAGGCCTTAGGTGCCTCAAAACTGCAAATTCTTTGCTTTAGCCCCAAACCTGTCATTCATGGAATCTAACCTGTCATTCATGGAGCTCTGAACTAAAATCAGAGCAGTACAGAAAAGAAAATTCTCCTGCCACTTCTCCAGCTAAAAGATAAATATTTTAAATCACATAAGACAAAATAACATTTGCATTTCAGAAGTTTTTAAGTTTGAAATTGAGACTATACATTTCTATAGACAATAGTCAAACAACAACCTCTGCTACTACTGACCTGAAAATGAGGGCTAGAAACACACTTGGCAATTTGTTTAAACAAGGGCTCCTGGATTTTGACAAACTGTGAAGGTTCGATCACATCCAGGATCTCCTCCAGCTCCCCTAGGAACATGACCTTAAGACAAGGAAAGAAGTGTTGAATTCAAAACCTTTGAATTATTTTCATCTGCAAAATCCTGTATGTCCTCAATATTCTACTGCTTCAGGGAGAACTGGAAGTCCTCACTAGCTCAACAAGACTGTCTTTAAAATAATAATAATAATAATAATAATAATAACAACAACTTATCAGTTTAATTTTTGCATTTTCTGCATCTTGTCTCTTGCACAGAGAACAAGTGTGTGCAAATGCTGTAATTAAAGGTAATTACTAATCCCCTAAATCAAAATTCAGAAAAATTGATTCACAATGACTTCAACTTTGTTAATACAGGAGAATCATTTATTTTTATCTCCTTTTGGGAAGCAACATTCAAAAATAACAGTTCTGTTGTTCATTAGGGAAACTCAGATTTGCATAAAGGATAGGAAGTAGAAATGTAAAAGTCGGACTGTATCCTTTGTATGCTTATTAGGTAAATGACAGATAATAAAACATTCTTTCATCAACCTTTGGAATATATAAATATACAAATAGTTTCAAATCTAACAGAATTCCCCAATCTATCCTCAATATATTTATTTTCTCCTTTCTACAACAAAAAGATATTCTTTTCTTTGCAGAAGAATCAGTGTTTATTTTCCGAACAGAAACTGTGGTTACCAGAAACTTTTCTCTTCATATCCAGAATATAAGATTCAAGCATGGACAATCGCCTACATGAATTAATAACAAGATCCACCACAGCATCTACCTGGAAATATGTAGAAATTCTCTGCATATTATTTGGTGGCATTACAAAACTGTCTCCTACTTTTTGTTAACAGTAACACGTCACTTACCTCTTTCTGACTGCAGGTTTTTGGCCAGAATTTCATTAAACCTCTAATGACCTAAATTAGAAGAAAAAAATATATATTTTTACTTATCTCAGAGGGTAAGCCAGATGTTTAAGATGCAAAGAAGTATGAAAGAAATATTTACTGGTTCTGTGAGTGAGGGGTCTTTCTCCAGAAATTGTACTATGCAGTATGCCAACTGTGAAAGGGTAAAAATTTAAGAAAATAGTGTTAGAACATTTTTAATAAAAATACACCAACATTAAAAAACTAGAGACTCAAAGCAAGATGCTATACAGCTTTCTCAGATTGCATCTGATTTTAAACTCAGATGCAAAGGACTGTGCAAAGCCCAGTTTATAGAAAACCACAGTTCTCTGAAACTGCTTCCTTTATACTTTTTATATACTGCAAAACTATGAAAACTCGCACAAGCTGGTCCAGCCAAAACTCAGCCTAAGCAGCAAGCCACAGTGCATCAGTTTAAGAAAGATCACACTATGTGAGAGCAGAGAGAAAGGCAACAGGTAGCACTTAGCAGAAGGAAAAAAGGTCATAAAAGCAGAATGTGTAAGAGAATAACGTGCAAATATGAGGGAAAACATTGAAGATTAAACAAAACGAGCGGTGGTGCTAGTATTCAGAAAATTGTTAGGAGGAAGATGACCCTAGACAACATTAGACTAAAACATAAACACTCTCTCAGGAGAGGG